GTCAGTTTATGATTTCAGTTCGTCTAGTTTATTTTTTAAACACTTCTAGATCATTTGTTTCCTGACTTATGACCTGTTGATTATATGCTTTGCTAACTATTATGAAGCACACAGGTACAATTATGTTAATAAACTGAAGAAAACAACATTCAATATTACAGTCTTTTTCACCACATTAAATGGTATTATCAAAATCATCAGATAGTGCGTTGTAAAGGAAGTACTTTTTGACACAGCACACAATTAAAGTGTGGAACTCATTGCCACAGAATGCTGTGAATGCCAGCCATTTAAATGGGCTTAAACAATAAGATGAATTCATGTTAGAAAAGCTCATTAAGGGCTATGAAGTACACAGATGCAGATGCAACTGGGGAGTCCTTAAGCTGTGTATTGCTGGAAACTGGAAAGATGTAGGGAGGAGAAATATGAATCTATCCATTTTACAGCACAACTCTTCCCCCAGCCCTGTTCCCCTGTCCTGTGCAGCGCTGGTGGCTGAGGGCAGGCTGCCGAGCTGAACAGCCTTTTTGGGGTGATCCTGTGTGGTAGTTCTTGTTCTTAGCTGTGATTCACTTGCTTCCAACTTACGCAATGCAGCGGTGCGATCCATTCTGTTTCCCTTTTCTGTAAATAGAATGAGAGGTACTTGCCTTTTTCTTCTGCGCTGAAGCTTTCGGACCTGTTCTGATGCTCGCTGTTCCTGCATGCAGGGCTTGCTTTCTGCCCCCCCCCCCCCCCCCCTCTTGCAGGGCTTGCTTTCTGCCCCCCCCCCCCCCCCTCTCTTTTTACACGTAGAACTGCCTGCCTGGTTATTAGCAGGCTGAGGCCTGAGTGGTGCCACATCGCTCTCTTCCTCCTCTGTATTAGAACAGTTTGCTCCCTTCACGGTTTTTTGAGAAGCATCCAGTCACTTCTCTCCCATGGAACTGTGCCTATTAATTCCTTGGGACTGTCAAGTGATTGATGATGAATCAGTTGAATCTGCTGTTCTCCTGGTATTTTGCTAATTGAAGTGTAACTGTTGGACATGGGTAGTGCCATTCGGTTCTCTAGCAGTTCCTAGAAGAATGGTGCTGGGGTCTGGCTTTTTTTTAAGCCACTGCAGGTGTCTTGGGATTTCCCCCGCTATCCTCTTTCTGTCAAAGCTGTGCTGGTCTTAGGATTCTAGGTCTGGATATGATGATAAAAATCTCTGCAGATGCGTGTGAAAAATTGTGGGCCTCTGATATTAAGTCACTGTTTTGGACAGGTAGGAAAGGGATCTTTTCTATGAAACAGATTCTATTCCTCTTTTCTCCTTTTTCTTTGTTTCTTTTTTTTTTTTCATCTTTTAAACCAAAGACCATCCTAACAGACTCTTTCCTGTTCAGCGTAAGGAGGTAATGTTTGGCTGCACAGGGATCTAAAATATTAATGCCAGCTGAGCATACTCAGCTATTTCAGCTGTTTGCATCCCAAACTTCTTCTGTCCAAGCAGCCTCTTTTATTCTTAGCAAAGGCACAGTTTTCAAGTTTCAAATTTAGGCTGTCTTTTGACAGTAGCTTTTAAGTCAGTAGCGTTAGGTGTATGTGAGACTGAGTTTTGGGAGGTGTGTTTGTGTATGAAGAGTAGGGAGCTGGTGGAAAGTATGAGGGGAATAACTCCAGTAACTGAAAAGACTTCGCTTTGACTGTTAAAACAGAAAGGAGGCCTGGAAAACCAGCCCAAGAACAATATGGGCAGTTCCAGTACTTGGATTATGTGGAAAATTGACTAATTACAAATAGACTTAGTAAGCTTGGTTAAAACTGGTACCAGTTAACTACAACAAAATTTCTCCCATCTTTCTGAAAGCGTTACTATATTATAAGTAATACAGGCAGGTATTTCATAATACACCGGTGTTCTCAGAGCAGAGGTAAAGCAAGTCACTGCTTCCTCTACATCTCTGAGCTCCTTTGGTGTGACCCACTCGAGTAGTTTTATTTTCGTTGTGCTTGTGTGTCTAAAATGGGATTATTTCCTTGTCTCACAAACCAAACCATGCCTTGCCTGAGGGAGTTTGTAGCCAGGCTAGATGCCTTGCATCTCAGTAGGGTGACCTGCCATAATGCTGCCTGATCTCTAGAGCTGCTGGGGTTTGTTTTGGTCCTTTTATTTTTTTTCTCCCCTGAGGAAATGTGACATTGGTCATCTTGAAGGAAAACTGCATGAGGAAAGAGATCAAAGTGCTAGCTGAGATGAGGCTGGCCTTTCAAATCTAGGTATGCCATTTACTGTGTAAATGTATTTGCAAAGGGATGGTTAGTCATTTTGGATCCTTCACCTAAAGGGAGACTGCTCATTTCAGCAAGATCCATGAGGGATGGTAAGTCAGAGCGCTCTGCTGACCAATCCTCCTGCAAATCTTACCTGGCGTGGAAAGGCGCTCAGTCTTGCAGCGCAGAAACGGATGAAAGGAGGGGCTTCCGACACTCTTTGCTTCGGTTGCATGCTGTGTTGCTCAGCTCTTGATCAAAGAAGTTAAGCTCATGTGGGAGCAGTTGTTCTTTTAAATGAAAAAAACGTCGTGCAAGCATTTCTCTACTGCACCGCAGTCTGGGTCTGCTGCTGCTATGAACTATGTGAGCACAGCCCTCTTTTTTTTCCCTTGCCTGCGGAAGTCTGGCTCCTGCAATGAGCTCACTCGCAACAAAAGCTTCTTGGAGTCCTGTTCGGCTCCAGCTAGGGCCTACCTAACAACGGCTCCTTTCCTGTCATTCTCTCGCCTACTAGACATAGCAGCCCTATGAGTATTTGGGTGGGGAAGGAAGGAGATTGCAACATCCATTAAGAAAAAAAAAAAAGTGACTTGTCTGTCTCTCACTTTTCAAGTGCAGCTGTAAAACTTTCCTTGGCATTTGAAAACTGAGCTCTGCCATGTGGTGGGTGCGAGTTGTGGAATACGTCAGCCTTTGAAGTTAGTGCTTTAAATAGGCAATTGCAAATGGCATCAGAATTTCAGCTTTTGTAGCAGTTTTGCTGCATGCTGGAGTAAGTAAATAAATACTTATTCTGACAGTGCACTGTGGAAGGTAAAATACCCACACCTCTGTATGTCTTTCCCAGCCATCAAACCATGTTCACCTGATGACGATGAATCTGGATCTCTAGAAATGTAGTTGTAGTATGAGCCTCTTTTTGGAACCAACTTCATATTTCCTTGCAAGACTTGTTTTCTGTTAAAGCGGAAGACTGTGCCAGCTGTGACTGAACACTTCTGTGTTCAGATGATTGCAGCCACAAATGAGCAAACCTGTCCCGAAGTGTCTGAACTAAGAGTGGCTGAAAGGCTGTGTGTCTGTCTTCTGTATTTCATTTACTTATTTACAGGGAAAATGTCCTACTGGCCACACAGGAGAATGCAACTAAGAGCCCTAAAGCATTTATTTTCTCGTCTGTAGTGTTTTGGGTGCTTAGAAACTAACTGCCACTTGGTACAATGAAGCACTTTGTAGTTCTGAATCTACAGGCACTACTTTTCTGCAGAGGTACATTGTTCTTATTTTTAATGCCCGGGATGGGGATAAATGCTTTGTTTGCGCAAGGAGTTAACAGGTAGGGCTGCACATGCTTATTTCTATTCTAATCTAAAGCAAGATGATCTGAACAGGCACGGTGAGTTTGAAGCAAGTTGTGCTGCCCTAGCAAGAGCATGTCTACCTCTTGGATATTTGCCCTGCATACCTTTAGGTGTTTACCTAAATTCCCCCAATCCTCCATTGAGAAGTAGCCTTGTTACCTGTATGCACAATCGGATGTCCTTGGAGAGGCGAAAAGTAGGTGTGAGAAAAGAAACTGTCTTGTATTGCTTTGCCGGTGCCGCCTTAAGTTACCGATGGCCAAGTTTCCAGTATGTGCAGGGTGGGAGAGAAATTCAGTGCAGAAAAGGGAAAACCTCGCTTACTTTTCAACAATACTTAGTTACATTCCAGAACTCACGCAGCTCTCTTAGGAAATGTCTTTCCTGTATCCATTGTCTTAATTTAGTGCCTTTCCTAATAATTCTTTGTCATCTCCAAGCTTCTGGAAAAGTGAGTGTTTCCCAGGGTGTAGGTGGAAGGAAAAGAGTTTGCACATTGCTGCCTAGCTTCTCATAGCGATATTGTGTTAATCAAGCTAATCAAGAGCAGTGACTCATAGAAAATGAAGACTAGATAATCCAAGTGACTGTTTATCACTTCTGTGGTCTATGGGATTGTTTCCTGCTGGAGAAAATAGCCCAAAGCACTTTACTGCTAGGGAACACATCTTCATATTTATTCTAAATTTTTCCTTTATGTAACTCAAAGTTAGCATCTTTAGAAACCCTCTTCCTCCTTCTTACTGCTTTATAATCTACCACATAACTCTGGATAACTCAGATGGCAGTGGCAGAGCCAGATTTCAGCTCCAGCTCTGCCTCTAGAAGCCAGGTCCCACTTGGTGTAGAGCAAAAAGGGAACGAACCCATTTGTCGGACTGTCCGGAACGCACCCTTTGCAGTCCATGCTGCTCCCAAGCCGTGTCCCTGAACCTGAGATGGCAACTGAAATGGCTTCCTCCAGTTTGGAGCCTGAAGAAGCTGTCTTACCCCTTGTAAAGGCACAGGTGGGGTGGGTGGTGCTGGGTTTCTGTGGGGCTTTGGTTGGGTTTTTTTAGACTGCTGTTACAATCTTAGCAATTTGTTCTGTCCAGCTCAAGTGGACACTTGTCTGCTGAACTGAAGTTAGGTCCTTTAAAGGATGGAATACCGCTTGTTGTTCTTCAGTCAAAACTAACGCACTGTAAACTCCTGGCGCTTTTAACTCTTGCATTGTAGTGGCTGAAGGCCTCTTTGAGAAGGGATGAAACAGCGAGCAGGAGATGCCTCTGGTGTGACTGCCTGTTTCATCTTGCCCCTTTTGGCCCTCGAAAAGGGGTGCTGTGTTTGCTGTCAGTGTACTTACCTGTGCTTACCTGTAGGGCATTAATCTTTTTGCCTGTTTTCTCTCCATAGGATGATGAGAGTCTGAAACACTTAACTCACGAAGAGCAGGATGTTCTCATGTTCTTTGAGGAAACCATAGATGCCTTAGAAGATGACTTGGAGGAGCCGGTCCTACGTGACAGTGGCATCCACTGTCAGTCTCCAAGGTCAACAGAAGAAAATGTGTCCAGTCATTCAGAGACTGAAGATATCATCGACTTAGTACAGTCAACACCTGAGAGTAGCGACCATGAAGGCCCTGCTAGCAGAGAAGCAGAACCAGGTAGTAGCATTTCTTGAAAGTGTGGGTTTTCTCTTTGACCTAGCCCTGAAGTACTCCAGTTCTCAACAGAAACAGCTGAAGAAATTCTATACCTTCCATATGACGTCAAGATGAATCTGTTACACATCAGGAGCTCTAAGGACTGTGATTTTAATTTGACTTGGGATTTCTGAAATTCTTGCTGTTACTGTAACTTTTTTTCCCTCTGATGGAGGTCATGCATATGATGAAGTTGTTGGACTGCTGCATCAGTCGCCTACCTGGTGACTGAGCTGCAACAGAGCTAAGTGTTGTGCAGGGGCATCGCAGCAAGGCAGACTAGTGTTCAATGTGTTCATGCTCTGCTTCTCTCAGAGACCTCTGAAGACTTTCTCTAAGAGTTTTAAGATAGCAGATTGTTTGTAGTGTTACTTTGTGTGGGACTGAAAGGCATATGATCCTATCGCTAGGTTTGTGACAAGGTAGTGTACGGCATGGTGTTTTATTCGCCCTGTAGAGTTTGCTCTCTCCATTTTTGGAGAGTGGATTTATCAGCCTGGACATACAGTGGGATGTAGTGTGTCCTTTCCTGGCTGTTATAATAAATAAGAATGGCAAAACTCTTTTAGAAAAAGCAGCGATTCAAGCACAGTGAAGCTAGCATGCAGATTGTGAATGAATGGCAGAAAGAGGGCTTCTAGTGAACACACCGTAAATATGGTGACTTGAACTACAGTGTCACCTACAAGATGCCGTTGCTAGGGGTTCAGTTATCGTTTCTTCTGGCAATGTGGGCTGACTTTGAGTTAGAAAGTTTGGAGGAGGGGAGTACTGATGTTTGCTAATCCTGGGTGATGGAAAGCCATGTGTTCTGCTCTATGTGAAGATTTAATGACGTTGTTGCTGCTTTGTCTTTTTAAGTGTTGGATGCAACCTGGAGAAGTGAGAGCCCTAAACCAGCTGTACCTGCTGACCTTCCCCCGCATCCCCCTGCACCACCACCATCGATGTCCGAGACGCTTCCTCTTCCTCCTCCACCCCCTCCTCCAGTCCAGCATCCAAAATTGCTTCGCTCTGTCCCCACTCCGCTCATCATGGCCCAGAAGATGTCCGAGCAGCAGATGGAGAGCAGGGTGCACTTCTCCAGTGCCCTCAAGGAAGGCAATTCCGACAAGAAAAACCCTGTAGCCAACGGTGATTATTTCGTGGCTCCGAAGCACCCTCCTGCACCTGCACCCAAACTGCACCGGTTCCCGAGCAACATCAACATAACGAATGTCAGTGGCAAAGAATTCAGTGAGACTATTTCAAAAGCAGCGGTTAACGTCCAGGAGCGGAGAGCTCAGGTGCTGGCCAACATCAATGGAGGAGCTTTGGCAGCTGAACTGGAGGAGAAGCTGCAGAAAAATGATTTCTTGTCACGTAACAGAAGTTCTTCCTTAAGGGATCTCTCCTCTGAGCAGACACGATACGAGGCCTTGACAAAACTTGGCCTCGTTAAGAGCAAGCCAGCTCAGGACCAAGTGGACCATGCCCCGAGCACTCAGCAGCTTGACGTGCAGCCCAAACAGGCAGGCGCTGTTCCCAATGGATATCAAAACATCCACGAGATTTTAAAAAGCAAGCCCAGCCCTTTCCTTCCTACGGGCAAAACTGTAACAATCAAACCAGAGGTAGCTCTTGCTGCTAACAAGGTCAGCAGCGCGCAGCAGAACACAGCAAAAAGTTTTAATGATTGTAAACAACCTAGTCTAAACCTGGATATGAGGAGGAGATCAGGTTCGCTGCCTAGACCTTCAGGATTTCGATCCCAAGGGATCACGGTACAGTTTTCTGGCCGTGGCTCAACAGAAGAAGCTAGGAGAGAGGCACTTCGCAAACTGGGACTACTAAAAGAGACTGCGTAATTCGGATGGGAACGTTTTGGTGACAGGGGGAGGTGATAGTGTGGCTTTGTGCTAGAATAGTCCCAACAGGATTGGGATCAAATGGTTTGGGAGAAGAGAGGGGAAGTTCTCTGCTTCAGGCAAGCTGCGGAGGCACTAGATACTGTGGAATGACCGCTCGTGTTTGTCCCAGAAGGACTGGCACCACATGCGGTCACGTGCAGCGGTGGGTTTCAGCTCTCCTTCTTGCAGAGATACTCGTCTGTTGCTCTTCGTGACTAAGAGGAATTTTATTTAAGCGATGCTGAACTGTAGCAGACAGCATCTCGTTAATGAAGTGTACAGTGCAGTATTGTTGTACATAGCAAACTGAATGGTAAATCTTCCTTTTGCTCTTTCTGAAGCCAAAAACGAGAGCTCCGTTTGTCTTGCCCACATATGTGTGTCTGTTCGTCGGAGCTCGAGATAGCATCAAAACTGACATTTCTGACCAGCGTGACGCACTTCCGTGACTTTTTTTATTGCCTATATTATCTGGCTTGGCTTTGTTCCCTACCAGTGGTGGAGTCTTCTGCATCCTTGCTCTGTCCCCACTTGCCTTCAGACTGCACAGAGGGTGGTTTCTGTTTCGACCTTCTCGACGGAGCGGCCCAAGCTTCGAGCGGGCGACCGCGTCACTCCGCTGCTTCGCTGGACGTCTTGCCTTTCTTCCCAGCCACCTGCTTCTTGGTCACGCTCTAGCAAGCTCCGTGTCCAGTGAGAGGCACCGGATGCGCCTCAAGGATATGCACCGTGCGCCGGTTTTCGCACTGACAGCCAAAGAGTCTCCTGACAATCTGTGACCCCAACTGTTCTGTACCATTGACCGTCTTAGAGCAGGGAAGCCATAGGAACAAGTTAACTGTGTACCGAATGCGAGAACCTCATGTGGAAAGTCTGATCTTCTCCGTGAGGGTTCCCGTGAAGAAACTGTTACTTTTTGAATGGTAGCTGTGGTACACTGAGTAGTTGTAAGCTCTGTTACTGCTAAAAACCGTCATTTGATCTTCCTGTAGTTTGACAGCTCGAGTAATCCTCTGCTCACAGCCTTATTTGATTCTGCCCTGCCAATGCATAACAGAAGTTAGAGCCAAAATTCTTGCAGGCTAAGTGGAGTTACAGGAGAGAGCTGTGTGCAAGGGCACGTAGCTCCCGAATGGTCCAAGCTGGTGTTATTTTGCCTTTGTTCAACAGACACGCTTTTAAAGATGGTCCCAAAATATATCTTTGTGTTGGTATGTTGTTTTTTTATATGGCAATGCTGCTCTTCCACATTAAAACTCCCTTCCCTTTTTGTACACCTGAAAGCGTCAAGAATAGCCATTTTAAAATCAAATGCCAAACTCAAGACCCTCTAAATTTCTCATTGTTACTCCTGCATGTTTAAGAGTTCTCTGGGTTTTGGGTTTTTTTCGAAAGGGATAAACTCACTTATTCTCTGCACTATCTAAAGCCTCAAGCAACCCTCTCTTTTTCCCAAGGAGCTGAGTGATAAACCTTGGAGCAGAGGAGGGGAGCGGCTGTCATGGGCTGACACACCCTTCAGCGAGGAGCTCTGACATAACTGTGATCAACAAGTTCGTAGCCCTTGTGATAAAGGATTTCAGACTTGCTGAGCTGTACTTGTAAATGAAGCTGTCGTGAAGGAAAGATCTTTGCGTCATTCTCAACCTGCCTCATAAGTTAAAGTTTTTTGTTGTTTGGGGTTTATTTTTTTTAAATTATCTTCTTGCTGCTTAAATTTTTAATGGTGTTATGGTATCTGGCTGGATCTGTTATGTAGTTGTTCTTTTCATCCTTTTCACTGCGAAGCGATCGTGTTCCTCATTGACGGGCACACCATACATAAGCGATCAGTAATTACAATATGTGGCCATTCCTCAGTCTGGCAAAGCACTTAGGCGTGCATAATCGAATGTGAGAAGTGCCGCTGAAACAAAAAAGGCTGCTTGTATGCTGCAAGTAAAGCACGTGGTTGTTTTGCTGGGTTCTGAGTCTGTAGGCCTAAATCAGAAAGACAAGGAAGAACATAAAACACATCCAAGCACCTGCTTCAGCGCAGCCTGGAGTGGAGTCCTACATGTGGATGATGCATCATAATTAATTAACATAACCTGCTAAGTAAATTTAAATGTTTCATGACCTTTGTGCTTTTAAATCCTGTTAAAGCAAATTCTTCATTATAAATGTGAAGTGCGTACGAAGCAATCTTCACATCTAATCATTTCTTGCCAGCTCTTCTTAGAGTTGTTTACAGCTGGGAGTCCATGCTAAGCAAATAGGGGGGGGAAAAAACCCTTGATGCTAATTGTTTCATTGAAATTCTGTCCTGTTCGATAACTCTGTAACATAACCTACTTTAAAAATAAAATTAGATGTTTAGTATCTAAAGTGTAAAGCTGCAGTATGCTGAATTAGCTGGATCATGTTCTTTCATCCTTTGTGCAGGGCTGCATCCTCAGCTGGTGGGAAGTGAGAGTTAGATCTGCATTAGATAAACCAGCCTCTGCCCAGGGAGGACTTGGAACGAGGTATTCATTGTGGCCCTTCATTATAGCAAATATCCTACTGGTAAATTCTTCTCCGTGCCTAAAACTGTAGTGAGTAAAGCCATGTACTAAATGAAGTTAAGAGACTAGCTGCTAATAACCTGTACATAAATTTAGCTCTATTTTGTGTATCTGGTTTTGTGTGTATATGTTGCTGTGGTTTTATTTTTCTTCCCTTGTGTTAGAGGTAACTGTCTTGCACAAATCTGATAAATCATCTATTAAACTGGGATAAAACCAATGAAACGGTAGCTGATGGAGGTGGAGTTTCCTTCTTTGTCACCCAGTAGCACGCGTCCTTCTTGGAGGAGGGAAGTGACTTGCTTTAATGGCTAATATCAATTTAATAACTCTTCTTTTTGCAGCTGTGGATGTGTGTGAGCCAGAGCTAAATCCTGTCACAGCACGGGTGAAGGGGAGGGCAGAAGGGAGGATTATGCCTGTCTTCTGATGAGAGATTTGTATTCTTATTGCTCGGCTTCAGGAACTGTGCCCAGCGTCCTTGCAGGACTGAGGTTCATCCTGAACAGTGTTTGAAGTAGGCAGGAGCCCCCCCTCTCCCAGTGTTTCGCAATATTTAAATGACTTCTACAAGAGGAATATTGTATATGTGAAAGAATAGCAACTCATCTTTGTGTTTCCATGGGTGTTCCCATACGTGAGCGTGATCCTGCTGAGGGTACAGGTTTTCCTTTTGGCATAGCAGAAAGTTCCCCTTCAGTGGATATTCCTACCCATCCCTCCTGAGCACGTGCATGAGTTGTTGCTGCCCTTCTGTCTGTCGTTTGGCTTCTTGCATGTCAAGGCTGCTAAGGTAGTTCCTTGGTTGGAAGTAAGTGCTGACTCTGGCGCATGTTACAAGGTGCTGCTGCCAAGTAGAGCGTAGAGGTGAAGGTTTCTTCATGAAATGCTGCGTAGCTGAGGTGGTGGGTAAATCACCTCGCACTGGGACTTGTCCCACTTTGAGTAGGGAATGGTTTAGAGCCAAAACTAACCAACTTTGATGTAATAAAAACCAAGAGCAATGACAAAATCCTCGGAAGAACAGATCTGGAGGAGGCGGTGGGTGCTTTTTGCTCAGACTCCCCTGGGAGCAGCTGCAGCAGGCTGCCCCGAGCAGGAGGCCGGATCGTGGTTGTGCCTGGGAGCAGCTGCAACCCAGGAAACGACTGCACTGTGCTGAAGATGGATGGGGTTTTTTATTGTATCTTAACTACAGGTGGTGTTGAGCATTTGTCCAAATATCAGGGGTTATGTATCATAATTTTTTTCCTGGAGTGATTTCCATTCTATCTTTTAACTCCCATGCGCATGAGCTACCTTTTTCTCCCCCAGGCAGGATGTGGCAGCAGCCAAAAAGCGGTGAAGCAGCCTGTCCCCACGCTCCCCAGGGCTGCCTCGGGCAGGGCAGGGCAGGGGCCCTCTCCTAACGGTTGTCCAGCTCCAGCCTGGAGCTGGGATGAGAGAATTTAACTTGGCGCAATCCATGGTGAAACTCAAACTCAACCCTTTGCTGCAGGGCAAAACCTCACGCAGCTGCCCGGTCCCTGTCGGCCTTTCGGGCGGCTGCAGCTTTGGGAATAAGCTTGTGATGTTTTGGCTCCTGTGCTTGTTTTATATGCAGACACAAAAAGAATAAATTTGGTTTCTCTCTTAAAAATGAGCAGCTTCAGAAAGCGTTATCCCTAACCGACCAGCGAAGGCCCGAGTCTAAAGGCCGCTGGGGGATTCAGCCCAGCAGCTCGGGCTGGTTTTCCGTTGGAGGTGCAAACAGGAGCCCTGTAATTTACAGCACTCCTGAACGACCTCGAACTGTTTTGTAACTGATCCCAGGAAGGTAAAAATTACAGCCCCTGCTCATTAGCTGCCTGGCTGGTCATCGTTAGTCCCGGCAGAGCCAGGAACAGCATGGAGTGTGTCTGAGGGGTGGCATGGGATCACAGAATCACAGAATGTTCGGGGTTGGAAGGGACCTCTGTGGGTCATCTAGTCCAACCCTCCTGCCAAAGCAGGGTCACCTACAGCAGGTGATGTACATCCTAAGCATGGCGCAGGCTGCTCTGGAGGCAGCTGCAAAGCCAAGCCCTGATGGTTCAGTTTTCAGGTGCATCCCGTGCCCCTGCAGCACCCACAGCTCCAGCTGCCTGGCTCTCGATGACTTGGCCCCGAAGCCAGTTGCTTGATGTCTCAAATACACTGCGGAGAAGTGAGGAGCTGACATCCGTGCTGGGGTGGCACTGGTGGCTGCTGTGCTGGCAACAGTCCCTCAGAGAACGGCTGCGGCGGTGCCTGGGCTGCGCAGCAGGAGGTGGCACGGCGGCAGCCAGGGCGCAGAGCCTGGCGAGGAAGGCACTCGCAGCAGGAAGGCAGTGGCACGACGGCTCGACAGAGCGAGAGCAGAGCAGGGCCCTCAGCTCCGCTGGCCCCTCAGCC